AAAATCTAGCATCGATAACTCAAAAGATTATCAACAAACCCAAATGTTAACTTCACAAGTTAAAGGTCGCTTTTGATGGAGGCCAATTACTGAGTGTATCAGGGTCAGACTTTTAGCTGTGCTCAGCACTCGCTATAGCAGTCAGTTAAAATAGATGCTTCCCTCAGACTGGCCTCATTCAGTGTCCCATCAGACCAATAGATGCTCACGGTGTTAAAAAGACATCTCTCTTCGTGTCCTAACACCATTTTCTGACCGCGAGGCTGTCAGAGGATCTGCAGCTTGCATACATGTGGATGCTTTTCTGTTCAGCTCAGCTATCTGCGTGACTTTTACACATAACTCGATAAATGTGTCAAATTCAAGTTCAAATTGAAGCCTTGACTACATGTCGCCTTCATATTTTACACTCACTTGATTCACTGTGGCACGCAAGCATTTCAAAATTATGGCCAAGTCAGTTAACAGCTCCCGTCTGTGTTAAGAAAAACTTGTAATGTGTACATATGAAAACAGTTTGGAGACACACCAAGAAAACATGCACCATAAGCAGTGGGATCTAAAACATCTCAATGTGGTGGTGCCTCACCCAACCAGCCCCACCCTGGAGTGTCTCTAGAGAACATTCTTAGGTATCTGCATGAACATTCGGGTGTACATGCGTTCCTAATAAAGTGCTCATTGAGTCTACAGTGTGGGAGGTTAAAGTTTTGAAGGTGTTGTTAAAATTACTACACACACAGAAGCTGTGCTGTTAAGATTTACATGCAAAGTGATCACAGGCATCACCTTTGCTTTCTCTATCACCAACCGAAGCCAGTGACACACGTTCAGCCAACTGTTCATTATCACAACATTATCTAGCAACAAAGCTGGTGAAATGACGTGATGATCATTGGTGTGAGTGGCAGATGCGCACGCTTAAACTTTTTCCCACGCTGTAAATAAACCAATACATGAATCCCCAAACCAAAATGCAAATACCTACTCAAACAAATATCATGAGTTTCCAGATTACTTCAAATAAAATGTTAATCTGCATTTCCAAGACTATCTGGTCAACAGATTGACTATAAACAGGCGCCAGGAAACATTTGGAAACAAGAAAGTTCTCTGGATGCACATCACTGTTGTGCTGACGCTCTTTTTGACAGTTTGTTTTGCACTCTTGCTTTTGTTACTACTGGCTGACAAAGACACAGGACTACACAACTATGTGTGCGAGCAAATATAATGTAATTTTATTGTAATGCATTTAAAAATGTTGCTATGAAAATCCTTCTATTTTGAAACGTTTAGCCAATGATCGCATTTGTCGTAGAGC